TCTGTCATCTGGGCTAGAGTGCAGTGGCAACAGCAACCTCCCATTCCTGGGCTCAAGCGATCCTCCTGCCTCAGCCTCCCGAGTAGCTGGGACTACAGGCATGTGCCACCGTGCCCAGCTAATTTTTTCTATATGTTTTTAGTTGTCCAGCTAATTTCTTGCTATTTTTAGTAGAGACGGGGTCTCGCTCTTGCTCAGGCTGGTCTCGAACTCCTGACCTCGAGCGATCCTCCCAGCCTCAGCCTCCCAGAGTGCTGGGATTACAGGCGTGAGCCACCGCCCTGCCCGGCCTGTTCCTGATATCTTGCCTTTCTTCAGAATCTAGCCTGTATCAATTCACTTCTCTGTCTCTCTCTCACTCACACACACACACATACAGACACGATTCTTGTTATTTGCAGTCGTGCGATCCCATAAAGTCGCCTTGAGTACAGAACTGCTACTCTGAGGGAAATACAAAGTCAGGTTTCTGAGAGCCCCCGGTGACAACATTTTCATCCACTGATCAATATACAACCTTGTTTTATGTGTGTTTCTATTTAAAGACACCTTCCTTAACCTTATAGTTGAGTCACATTGAATCCGCGACCAATAGCACCGTAACTCATGCCCAAATGAAGCTTATCTAACCTATGTATTTTCTCCATAAGGGAATCACAGGCTACTTTTGCTTGGGGACAATAGCCAGCACTTTTAGCACTACACTTGGGGATCATTTTGAACGGTGAAATCACCAATAAAAAGTACAGAAATGCAAAAAACAAGGCACTAAAATGACCACAAAAGGGACACTTGTTTACAGGACAAGAGATTAATCAAGAAGGCAGAGATCAGCCAGGCGAGGTGGCTCACGCCTGTAATCCTAGCTCTCTGGGAGGCCAAGGCGGGAGGATTGCTTCGAGGTCAGGAGTTCGAGACCAGCCTGAGCAAGAGCGAGACCCCGTCTCTACTAAAAATAGAAAGAAATGATCTGGACAACTAAAAACATACAGAAAAAATTAGCCGGGCATGGTGGCGCGTGCCTGTAGTCCCAGCTACTCGGGAGGCTGAGGCAGGAGGAT